TGTTAAAATTTGGTGCACATATTCTGAAAAGGCTTTGCAATTGTTTTGTAAATCTTTTGATATCCAAGTTGAGCTAGTGTATAGTGACTATAACAAAATGGAGAGAAAATACTAAAATAATTAATTAACAGAGATTCACCTGTCAATCTATGGTGGTGTGTAGAATGCTCTTTGCCCTTCTGGGTTCTTGGTCAAAATAGATTTCCAATCCTAAAGCAAACGCCTGATTGTTTCTTTCTCTACTTAAAGAAAGTACAACAAAAACTTGTACCCTTAAAAAGATAACTGAGAAGTCATTGACATTGTCACAGTAAGCGTACCCTGCCTCATATATAACTCCAACTATACAATAGTTATTCGAAATGGAGTCATAGTTGGAACTGGTCTTCAGAAGCCTACTACTGTTCAATAAAATCCTAAATTTTTTATCCTTTCAGTCAGACTTGTTATCAGTGTCTATTTATTACACATCACTAGTCATTTTCTGTTCCTTATCTTTTTCTCACCATTCACTTCTTTATTTCATTCCTTCTACCATCTGTTTATCTCTTCTAATATAGTACAAGGGCAACTCAACCTTTTCCTAGTGGGGGGCCTGGTTGGGGGGGTGGGTATAAAAACTTTCATTTTTTAGTCATTTTTGCACATTTGCACAACAACCTAACACTCTAAAGTGAAATCTTCTGACACTTCTACTAGCACCATTCATTATTCAGACGTATGTGATGGAGTTAGCTTGGTCTACAAATTCATAAGTTTGTGATGGAATTGGAATTCGACATTTCAGCCTTTTTAGGAGGTGGTCAGAAATGTTAGTGGATCTTATAATTGAGCCATTGCTGATCAACATGCGAATGACTAAATGATATGTAGTCAATCGTATTCACATATTTCTGCCGACATGAATACAATAAGCCAAGCTTATCTATAATTACTGAAAATATTTAATTTAAATCTAAACCACAATTCGCCCCACTTTTTTAAAATTTTAATACATTCTTACTTTAACCTGTATAAAAGGTTGAGCCTCTCTTTATTTGTTACCTATATAGCCATCAGGTATGTTATTCATCATGAAAGAAAATACCTGTGTTATCAAACATACACCTCTGAAACTCTCATCATGGCTATTTCAGGAACATATCTACACTCTTATTACTCTTGATAATGGTACAGAAGAGTTTTAGGAAATTCAGCATTCCTAGAACTTTTTGGCAATTAATTCAAATTTTGTAGAGTTGCCTTAGGGGTAGAAAGATTTGATAGTATTGAATTATAAATTAAGAATTATATTTGGAGAAATGCCATATTTCTAAGATTTAATTGGGATTGGATTAATTCAGCATTCTTAGAAAACCAACTGCATGAAACTTGGAAACTTTTAGAAAGATATATAGAATCCACAAACATCATTATTAGATTCACGAACAAGTGATCTTAGAAATCAACATTCTTCAGAAGTCAATCCAGGAAATAATTAAAATTTTATTGAGTGGCTGTCTGGAACTTGTTCTACATATTCTAAATTTATAGTGTAACCTGTGTTTCAATATTATATCTACCAATAATTTGTGTCTACATACCGTGCTTAAACAATTTAAAGCGATTAATGTTGTGCTTCTTTATCATTGTTCGGAAATTGAAGAGACTGAACCTGTGCAATTTTAAATCAGTTCAGCCTGAATTGAATTTCTCAGTTCAGCATATGAAACCTCAAAAGCAGATCAGGTTTATTCTTTCGGATGGTTATGTTCTCTTTTCAAATGTTTTGGACCAGTATATTTGTAATTTTAATCTTGAATTCACAAAGATTTTCATTAAAGTTTTACTCAAGATATTGAATTGAAAAAGAAGTTGAAAGCTGAACTTAAACTACACTTTCATGACTTCTTTCTATCAGTAATGACATCATGTGAAATGTATTTAAATTGAATGTGAGGTTTAACTTTTAAAGCCGACATATTCTGACAAGTTTACATTAACTGCTAAGCAAATTTATATTTAAAATTGATTTTTAGCTTCAGTTCATCAAAGAGTGAATTTGTACAACTCAACTGAACCGATTTAGAATTACTTGTATCATCAAGATTTTGGTTAAAATACAAATACTTGATTGATATTCAACAGAGTTTCTATCTCTGAACATTTGTGTATTTTGTTCTATTATTTTTGAAACTTGGTGAAATCCAAGATCAGGAAAATAGTGTTATCATAGATGAAAAAATTTCCCAAGTGTGTATAAGAGTGTCTTGTATATATCAACACATCAGAATTGATGATATATTTTCTGGTTTTCTAAAGTTACTGTAAAGTACAGAGAGTTGCCATAGTTCTGGTATATTATGGATACTGAGTGACTTATTTATTAACAGCTTTTGTGACTTTCAATCATGGATTATCTGATGTTTTAAATTGGATTAAAGTCTACTTCATCATACTTAATATTCTCAGACATGTCAGAAGTAATGGATATTTATACAAACGTTAGTACTGCTCTATATAATTTTAATTTCTATTTATATATAAGCAAACAATTCTTTTCACCCTCAAATTGACTCAAATTTATTATATTAATAGACTGGTTCGATCTCGGTGTTAGCAGAGAAAGTTTTTCGGGATTTTCCAACCTGATTTCCCCTTGTCAGTGGTGCAGATTAACTGAACATGGCAAGTAACATCTAGTTGTTCGGATAGGACAAAAAAACAAAATCTGCCTGGGTATTCTTTGACGAGCATGAAAGAGAACCGTGAAGAGCATGCAGAATGTTTCCCTCTGTGCAGGTTGCATGACCATCTTCATTAGCCCAATTTGTGCAGTAGGATGTTAAACCCTATTTGATTTTCTATTAATTGATGATAAAAGTACTAATAAGATGATATTTTTATTGACTTACTGGTAATTACGCCTATCTTAAATGTAAATTTGAATAAAGTCTAGCTGAGTGAAAATAAATAGTGCACCTGCCATCTATTATTTGAACATGCACATATGTTCCTAACAGAAGCTACAATAAAATATCTAAACCAAGGAATAAAAAAGGATCTCTGGAAATAAATCAGAGACCATAGAAAAGAAAACTTCCAGTAACCAATTCTGTGTAAGATATTAAAGAAGATTTTGTAGTGTTAATGTTAGAGGTCAGAGGTTGTAGTTCATCAGACGGAAGTAATCAATCTAATCTGGTCAGACAGTTTATTCAAGCGCTATAGATCAGTAAGATAGTAAAGTCTAAGATTGATCTGAGAATGGTGCCACTATCAGAAATATAACTTTGACCAATATTTTATCTATCAAAGCTTATGGTACTAATTGTAACTCTTATGAAAGCAAACTGTTTTTCTGAGACCAGTATAGTAAGAATTAAATCCAATATAACTTGATGTGAATTAAAATTGATCAATAAAATATGCCTTGTGACTTTTGCTGAGCATGATATTTCATAGCGAAATATTATACAGTTTGCATTCACATTGTTACAGATCAAAAATAATTCTACCCTTATTTTAGCTGGAGTATTTTAATCCAAACCTTTCTGTTTATTTTGGGAAAATGTGTTAATTGCCACACTATTTCCTGAACATGGTGTGAACTGAAGCCTTAAAGGGACTGATTTTCATTTAAAGGATTTTGAATTCCTTGCAAACTATGATATTGTGAAAGTTGGATCTCTTAACATGAATATCAATCAAATTAGAGTTCAATTCCATTCAGTATTTACAATGATACAACGAACTGAAAATTTTGCGACATTCTGCATCCTCTGCAAATAATATAAACAAGCCAGTGTTGTGTAAAAAATTTTGATGGACCTCTTTTTAATTCGGCTGAATCTAAGCAAGGATATTATATATGATTAACATTTTGGTTTGGTTTTAGCGTGACAACATTTTAGCATAAATTAAGAAATGAAAAACTTAGATTTTTCTGAAAAGAAGGCCATTAGTTTTAAAGTACATATCTAGGTACTATATATCAGTCACAGAATGTTGCTTTTCATTCTGTCTATTTCAAATCAGCTGCCGTCTTTTATCTATAACAATGTCACCTAATTAAAGTGCTTTTCCACAAATGACACATTAAAGACCTTTCAATTTATTCTCAGTCTCATGATGAAAAATAGGACATTAATTTAAAGCCCATTTCATTACAGTTCTATGGCCTACTTTGAACTGTAATAATAAGCACTTATATTAGTAGACCTGCAATGTCTCTTGGATTTTTCCATTTTTACATATTAAATCAATTAATTAGTACATTTCAAGTCATTAATTGAAATGATTCCCAAATATAAATTCATTTCGACCTCCCCATTTAACTAACTACTTTTAATAACCCTTTGGATTATATAACCCTTATTGGTTTTTGATGCAACTTTTAACTTTGATCTTAACACACGATTATTGACCCAATAACCTAGGAAAGGAACCTTCCACTTAATGGTACTTGAAACTTAAATATGATCAATTCATAGAATAGAGTAGTCTACAAGTACACAACCACAAACTTGACTAGGGATTTTTTCAGAAAAAAAAAAAGTTTTATAATGACATTGTAAATACACAAGAGATTGTATTTATATGCAGACGCAGAAAATATATACAACGGTAATTAAATGTGCAAAACAATAGGAGAGCAGAACAGTGGAAACTACATGTGTTTATACCATGGTGCCAAAAAATCCTGAAAGTCTATATTACATTCAGTGTGTCATTTATTGAAAAGTTTACTGGAAAAACAAACCCCATTTACGTCATTTATGAATCGTGACGTCCAACAGTTAATGGTTCTTCTAACTGTACAGCTAGATATATTAGTGTTTTATATTTTAAAACATGAATAATTCCATAGTTATTTTCTTGTCTCATGGAATGAGAGCCTGTTTTTCGTGAATGATAATATACATGTACTTTGGATTTCCTCCATCGATACCAACATTGACAGATTTATTGATAGAATATACTGCATGTATTTATAAAATTCTTCTTATTGTATCTTGCAGGAGCTGGACTCCGACCAAACTGGAACAGTTCGGCGCCGAAATAAAACGGTGGTTACCCCAAAGATGGCCATGGAAAGTTTCAGATTCTCATTCCTAAATAATGAAGGTAAGTTTGTTGGATATATTATTTGGATAATTATTTCAGCAAGGAACAATCGTATTTAAACACAATTTTCTTACACATGTATATTAATAAACTTTTAACTTGTACTCGTAAGTGGTATGATATCCTTTCAACCAAAGCTTAGCAATAGGAACAAATTGATCAATTTTAATAATCTTTGGACCAAAATATTTTTATAAATATAGACACTTATTTTTGTGTGGTTGCAAGCTCCACATTTTATTAAGTCCTTTATTGCAAGTTATCAACATGCGTGCATCTGTAATATTTGTCTTGATATTACACTCTAAATTGATTTTTTTTATCATTAACGACAAATAGATTACATTCAGATACTTCAAGACCCTAAATTCATGGGATGCAGGGAGTTTAGGGAAGGTCTTTACAAATAGGGAGGAACTAATTTATTTAGCATCGTGTTATTACATGCTCAATTAAACATGGTTATGGTTGGAGATAATTGAACCTCATAGGAAACACATTCTGTGGCTTATTAGACAGACATTGTCGATATTTGATGAATCAACATTATGTACATGTATGGTTGAAGGTATCTAGGCCTAACCATATTTTCATAATTTCATACTGCTCATACTGTGAGAATTAATGAAATTTTCTTCATATTATTTTATGCCTTCCAAACAGTAGGTCTACTTCCATAAAAATTCCCCATTAAATTGTATTTCCCGAAAGATATAGCATGTAGTAGTAAACGTAGTTACTGTTACTATCCACTATCCGGGAATTAAAGTCGAGATTTTGATTTAAATTAGTAAGAGAGAGGAGTTGTAAAAATTGAATGGAATAGGAAATGAGACTGACTGGTATAAGGAGAAATCTGAAATAATCTTGATGTAAGGGGGAGAACTCTTTATTTTGAAGCTGATTGTTTCTCCAGCAGTTTGTATTAGTACTGTAATTAGGCCTCATGCCGTCTGATCAAATTACTTTACTTTTAGAAAAAAGAAACATCTGGGCTACCAGGCTATAGGATGTCAAGGTTGCAGATATTTTGTTATTTAAAAATAGACAATGTTGTGTTTTTATGTATATTCTTTTAGAATAGGCCACAGCACCAAGCCTTTAAACCATACATAGGTCCTAACAGGCAGCACTGTAAATATGTAGTTCTGCATACAAAACTGCTACCAAAAATTGTTAGATATGCCATGATAAATCTTAAGGTAGAAAAGATTAATGGCAAGAATACATGTTCAGTGCAGAATAAAGAATTGCACACATTGTAACGTCAGATTGGAGTAGCCATCACAATCATTGATATTGCCGAAGACTAAAGAAGGGTGAAGGGTCCAAATTGATCAGTTGAAAAAAGTTGGTTTATAGTTGATAAAAGCTTAAAGGGACAATGGTGTTGATTTCTTTGTTAAAATTGAAGTATACTCAATTTATTATGAATAATAAAATGTATTTGAACCAGATTGGTTCAGTATTGAAAAAAAAACAAGAAAAGCAATTTCATACAAACTTGTCTCAGCCTCACCATTATGGTAGATTATTTGAAACAGTAACACATTTTACCTCCTGGTAAAACAACACCTCTGCAAGAATTATCCGTCACAACCTTTGAATTTCCAGGGTGACCTTTAATATGCAGATGTCAACATTTAAAAAGTGTGAAACCTTTTAATCTCCCCTTCATTAATAATTATTTATTAGGTACATGACTAGGTTCCCCCCATCATTAGAATGTTGCTGCAATCGATAGAATGAATTAAAAGACTCAAGAGAATTTTGGCGTTATGATGATTTAGGGAAATTGGACCAAAATAACCACAAAGAGGGGGTTGGATGGCCGGATGGTTAGCATATGCGCGCGGTATCATAAGGTCCGTCATTGATTCAACTGGCGTGGTTTCGATTCCCCGGTTGTACGTGAAAAGGAGTAGGGGCGCCTGTCGAACCTTGTGGGTTTTCTCCAGCCCACTGCTAAAGACCCCTATGTGCAAGCGAATTATTGAAATGAAATTGAACCATATGTTAGTCCTGAAATGACCTAGTTTGTGTTGAGTAGACGTTAAACCCCATTTCTCTCTCGATCACGACCAAAAAGAAATCATACACTATTTTTTTATGCCAGGTTTCTACCATGATGATGCGTGCTATGATTGAAATCATGGTTTTAATCGTGGAGATCCTATCAGGTCTTATCATATATTGCGGTCAGTCATAGAAATCTTGTTGATCGGAATGAAATGTATGTGAATGCATCTGCATGTAGCAGATTGTGTACTCAATATGGACAATCCTATTGTAATGCATCGCACGGCAGTGGGAACCTCGCATTAGTATTTGCAATTATTTTTGTAGGAGATCTATTAACCTCTACTGCTAGGCTTATGAATTATGAAAGATTCTTTTAAAACTATTCATGCCTTGTTTTCTTTGGTGTACAACATTTTTTAAAAAATTTTACTTAGTAACTGCATGTGCTGTTCTATAATTTATCCCCTTTACCATATCAAGGGTAAATCTGATCTGTGTCTGATAAAATCTTTTTAAAGAATTTTTGACGCCATATCTGTGACTGTTCTATTTTGTTTATTTCAGAAAATCAAGATATTAATTTTGATGCCATTTTAGGTGAATTGTGTGAACTAGAAACACAGCTAAGCACAACACAATCAGAACTTTCCAATAATTTAAAGTTTCCTCCGGGCATGGTTAGTGTTGCAAGGGAGGAAACTAAAGATGGCGGAAGTGACACAATACAAGCAGAGTTAGATGCCTTAGCAGCGGAAATAACACAAGGTTTAGGATGTAGCCGAATTACACATTACAATTTACATGGAAATATGTCTTCCCGCGAGTGTTATGACGCTGGTGAAACTGACTCTGCCTTTTCAGACAATGCTTCCCTTCCTTCATCCGAATCATTCACTTCCATGGCAACAGTTTCGTCTTCAACGGATACTACTTCATCATCTTCAGGAGATACATGCAGTACTATGTCATATGTTCCTGTCCAATCAGAAGTAAGAATTTTTTTTTTTTTTCTGACCACTCATTTTTCTAGAATTTTTTTAATGTTTTAAATTTATCAACCATTATTAGTTATTTTTCGCTTGACTTTAACCATGTCTGTGAGAATTTAATGCATATTAATTTGTATGACAAGATCTTGTGAATACACCCTGCAGAGATGTTTTAGAGAGATTTCTTGAAATAGACGCACATGTATAGTTGCTCCTGAAATCTGAAGAAAGAAATATGAAGGAGGAAGAATTTAGAAAAAATTATTCTTGAGAAATAATTTAAGTATGAGTTATAATTCATGTCATAGAATTTTGTTCTCATTCCTGTGTATTTGAAAGAATTTTGAAATTACCCCTTAAAAATTCAAGACAGTATTAAGAGAATTTAATTATGCTGCAGATTTACAGTTAATAATGGCCCTCCATGTCTATAAAGAATAATAATGTGTCTGTGAATATGTCCTTTGCACCTTTCTCCTCCTCTTATGTTTTCTGGTTTTAAAGAAATGAGGGGGGTGGGTTGGTGGCCGAGTGGTAAAAGGGTGAGTGTTTGATCACAAGGTCTGTCAATGAGTTAAGTGGCCTGGTCTCTCTCTCTCTCTCTCTCTCTCTCTCTCTCTCTCTAACTTGACCCCTTAAATCTGAATAATTAAAGTAAAATTGAACCGTATGTTATTCCCAAAATGACCTACTCTCTCTCTCTCTCTCTCTCTCTCTCGAAATAGAGTTTGACCTCTCTCTTGATATTATTTTGAGACCAAACTGTGAAACTTTTAATATGGTAAGGATGTGAATTTTGGCTGGACAGTAATGCCGTCATGTACTTTTGTTCAAATTCTAACTTTCACTGGATCCTTTAAACAGGAGACTTGTTAATAACTTCTTTTGTCTTATCTACTGTTCAGGTTTTGATTTTGTTTTCTTAATGAATTAAATATGAAACTAGATTATATGAAACTACATAGACAATTTTACAGTAATAAATACTGTTAATATATTGAAATTTTCCTTGTCTGCTTAACACTTAAAATGCTACACAGGACTATTTTTTTTATACCACCCATACAACTAGACACATTTTTGTTGTTGACCCCACAGATGTTTATCACAGATAGACAAGAAAAAAATATTATTGTACTGCAAGAACAAGTTAACCTCTTGAACTACTTTTGTCTGTAAATTGTTTGACCTATTTTAGATGGTTACAAAATAAGCAAGCTTATCTTTAAATAAGACTCTGATAAATATTGGCACTGGGTTGCTCTGATATAATGTCCATTTATTATCTCTCCAAAATAATTTTAATGAAAGGAAAATGAATGTTCAGGTTCTTGTCTGGAGGGAGCAATTTCATCTAATCTGTTTCAGATAAAATATATTCACTTTAAATTAAGTTTCAGTTAGAACTGGAAGTGGTAATAATACTCTTTTACTCTACTTGTCTAATAAATCTACAGTTTGGCAAATTGTTGCTTGGTTAGAATCTTTAGATTGTATACCGATGCAGCTGCTTCTAAAATGTAACTGTTGCCATGATTGATCTTTGTGGGGGTATTTTAAAGAGAAAAGAATTAATTCAGTATAAATTTGAAGATACATTTTAAAATTAAAGAAATCTTTTACAGCTGCTTGTTAGGGAAAGGTTGCGAATTTCAGCTGAGTTAACCATTCCTTGGTAATATTTAGGGTTCTTCAGGTCATGTAAAGTTTATCCAAGTGGTCAGTTTGTATGCACATAAGGCCGGGTATGGGTACCCTTTTAAGAACAATTAAGTGCTTCAAATGCATACTTTTTATTTGCAAAGTGTACAATGATAATGGTTTCAGTTGCATCAGTTTTTATATCACAGGGGGGTTGGATGGCTGAATGGTTAGCGTGCGCGCGCTTTATCATAAAGTCTGTCATTGAGTCGACTGGCGTGGTTTTGAATCCCCGGTTGTACGTGACAAGTAGTAGGGTCGCCTGTCCAACCTCGTGGGTTTTCTCCGGGTCCTCCGGTTTCCTCCCACTGCTAAAGACCCCTACGCGCAAGCGAATTATTGAAATAAAATTAAACCATATGTTAGTCCCGAAATGACCTAGTTTGTGTTGAGTGGACGTTAAACCCGATTTCTCTCTCTCTCTCTTTATATCACAGAATATTGTTGTCATACTTCTTCAAAATTGTCAGCAGATGTAAAAGTACCATTATAAATTACAGATTCAAAATCTCAGAAATACATGATGTGAGAATTCTGTTGAGTATGAATTGGCACCAGCAATAATAATTTCAAAATGGACAGGAAAGAAAAGGTTATAAAAATAGTTCAGATAGGTACATGCTTGGAAACGATTAATTCAAGAAAAATGAACTAAATTTGAGGTTTTTGACCTTTCCTGACATTGAAATATGATGAGTTTGTATATATATAAAATAGGAAAATAAACTTATAATGTACTAACATGTGGTTACTGTACTAACAGACAGTAAATTTTTGGTGGTAATAAATGTTTGACCTAAAATAATATGGTAGGATTCGTAGGCGTGGTCTCAAAATCGTGATAAAACAAAGGAAGTGAAGCTATTTTGTCTGCAACAGAAGCTGATAAAAATCTGGCAGCTATTTTTAGTAAGGCGACTTAATGTTTTCATTTGGGTTTTAAATATCAGCTGCATGACTTGGCAGACGTAAACAAGCACTTTACCTAATCCCAGTACTTTTACCACAAATTGGTACAATCTTGTTTCACCATGAGTTTGGTTATTTACCGGTACTTCAAATGTACTGTAGCTAATTTCATAAATATTTGTCTTGTGGTTTAAGACTACTGAAGGTGACCTTTGTTTCAAGTTTAATAGATTTTATGTACATTCTTGAATTTTTCCCAATATATGTATGAAATAAGTTTTATTTTCATGGATAAATTAGACTGAGTACCGTAAGTCGAAATAATAAATTCAAATTTATGTACATTCTTGAAGTTTTCCCAATACGAAATGAAGTTGTTATCATGGATATATTTTCCCAATATGAAATAAGTTTTTCTATCATGGATAAATTAGATTTGAATATGTCAAAATAATTTCTTTTATGGGAAAGCCTGAATGATGTGGTTTTTAATGTTCATATTTTGTTGGCCATGATATTTCTAGATATTCTCTGTAAATGTAATTATTCTTTTTCTGTGGCATGATTACCAATCATAACATAAAATTTACCTTTCAATAGAACCTAGCTCCAAGGGTACAGTAATTTATTGATATGGAGTGAACCACGTACAAAGATATTTCATTCATTACCATCCTGTTACTCACAGTTTATTGACATCCAGCTAAAAGCTATTGGTTACCAAACCTTGCTAGCATGATATATTATTGCGATGAAAACATGAAATCGATAGGAAATGAAATAGAAAAGTTATAGATATATTACTGTGATAGTATACAAGATAGACTTCTGCAAGACCAGGAAACGCGATTAATTGACTTCTGGTCTCCCCAGGAGTTGATGAAGCCAGCTGGATTAGATTATCATTAGATGTTATTGAATTTTACACTTCATTCTACCGCTCAATTAATTTACCCAGTTTTGGAAAGTTGGAACAAACATACACCTATCCCTAAATAATTACAGTGATGTATCTGAAAATTATTTTCCGATTTCTTTGTACTTCGGTTTTCAATTTACTTCTGTACATTGTCTGGTTTCCTACTAAAGTTAATGACTATTCAAGACAGAAAAGCATTTTATTGCTAATTTCATTATATGCTTAGAGAATTAAGTTGAAATATCTTATTAATATGAACTCTTAATAGAACAATTTGAATGAATTACTAGCATAACTCATAACTGAATATATTCCTGTATATTTTTGATTATGACAGTCTGCATATGTCAGAAAGTAAATTCAAAAGTGAAATGTCACATAAATGGTTTAAACTTACATCAAACCTCTGGGTGTTCCCATTTGCTTTCATCAAAAGACTGCTTTCCCTTTATAAATCTGTGTGGTCGAAAAACTAAAATAGAAGTAATAAAACATTTATAACTTAAAACAATATATTTAACAATGAATTTAAAAATTACAAAATATTTAAAGTGAAAAGAATTTAATATTGAGCTTGTAACTATTATGTATACTTGACCATTATTATGATATCGAAATTGGCATTTAACTTTAAGGTAGATTTTGCTTATGTTGATAGATGTTAGTTTGAGGTGAAAGAGTTCAGTGCTGTTTAATTCAATTCCAGGAATTTTATTGTTCAGAGATCAAAGATCTAGAATTCTTTTGTAATTGAAATGTTTGATGGTTTTTTGTTTGGCTATTTTTTATGTTCTGTGTGTTGACCTACAAAATAATTCTTATCTCCGGCATCAACGAGATCTCGACAATTTCTATTTAAAAAATGATCAATCAAAACCTTTAAGCCAGGACGAACAAGAAATCAATAAAAAATACTGGAAATGGAGGGGAAATATCTCAAAGTTTTACGTCAGAACTGTCTCACAGAACGGATCAATTTTCTTATTACAAGAACCTTCATTTATGTAAATATCAAATAAGACATGTTCTTTTCAATTAAGGAGTATACTCATATTTATGCTAAATGTGTTTTCCACGGTAACCATTATTGATAATTCATTGAATTCAAGAGAGTTTTTAATAAAGATTTTTCCTTTTGATTAGTTCGAGGTCAGCACATATGTCAGAAGGTTGTTTTTGTGTTTTTATCCTATGTTCAAGTTTTTCTTGAGAGGCATCATGCCCTCTGCCATGTTTATACATATATAGTAAGTGGTTGAGCTCAGCCACACCTCATTTATAGCAATCAAATAAAACCCCAGAAGATCAACCTGTGGACAAGACACATCACACAAACAATACACAAACACTAAGCAATAAACCATCCAATCAAGTGAATGGATCTGGTGGCTGATTGTAAGCGTCCACTGTGCTTTAGCAGTCACAAATTTACAACAATGGAGTCAACCCAAACATTGTATTATTCTTGTAT